CCTATTTATACTCCTTTCAGTTCTTTGTTTTCCAAATTTGGAATGAGCCTTCCGGACCTTCTGAGAAAGAGGTCCTGTGTGCTGGGAAGGGGCCGTGAGACCACATCTCAAGGCCTGGCCTGGCGCCAGCACTGACCTCTGTCTGGGGCATAGTCTATGGCCTCTCTGGAGTGGGAGTAGTCTTATTTTACCCTATTATTTAAGCAAGCGAACGTTTACTGAAGCCAGAAGAGCAGGGTTAAAATTTCAAACAGCAGTTTTTTTTACACAGGATGGAGTTTACTGTGCTTCACATGGATTCCATGGGAATTGGGTTTCTAAGGTCCAGACCCACATGAGTTAACATCAATTACATATCATCCCAACAACTAGAACAAGAGCAGAGGAAAGAAGGAGAGGCCACGGGATAAATTAGAGGATGGGGGACCTACTCTGAGAGCCGTGTCTTTCCTGGGGAGGGTCCCAGAGCCTGGAGACCACACGCTCCTAACAGTGGAATTTCCAGGGAAACCCATACCCAGGTCCCTGAGGAGTCGGGACCCAGAGAACACACATCCCGCCAAGGCCAGGAGCAGGGTATGTGCAGGGTGTGGCAGAGGCTGCCCAGGCTCCCAGGTCACAGAAGCTACACTTCTGCTTTGCTTTCTTATTTAAAGTTATTTCTGAGTGACAGTTATAGTCAATGGTCCTTTGTGTTCGTTTCATGGGTGTAACATGGTGGATAGATAATCATATGCTTTACAAAGTGACCCCTTGATATTTCCAAATCCATATGGAACCATAGGCAATTCCTACAATGTTAGTCACTGTATTCTCTGTGCTGTACTTAGTTGCCTGCGACTGTTTTATAACAACCACCAACTTATACCTCTTACTCACTTCAACATCTTCACTCACTCCTCCATCCCCCCTTTCCTCTGGCAACCATCACTCTGTTATCTGAATCTATGAGTCTGTTTATTTTGTTCATTTATTTCTTTTGTTCTTTAGGTTCCACATGGGGGTGGAATCATCTGGTGTTTGTTTTTCTCCCTCTGACTTACTTTACTTTGCTAATACCCTCTACGTCCATCCCTGGTGTCATAGGCTTTCACTGTTGTTTTTCTATAACCGGGTAATGTTCCACTACATAGAGGTACCAGCACTTTCCATCCACCTTTCTCCTGACGGGCACTGAGTCGCTCCCATAGCTCGGCCATTGTAAAGAAGGCTGCAGGGAGCATGGGGTGCATGTACTCCTTCCAATCAGAGCTTCCGGTTTCTTCAGAAATACACCCAGATGTGGAGTCACTGGGTCATGAAAAGTCTTCCTTGGAATGTGGTTGTTGTTGCTAATCCTCACCACAGGCTATATTTTCTACTGATTTTCAAACAGACATAAAGGGAGGAACAGCCATTTCCACCCTCGCTCTTTCCTTCTGCATCTCAGGCTGAGCCAGTCTGAGCCCATGAGCAGGTTTTGGTTGCACTTCCCTGTGGGTTTACATCACCGTGTAAGTATCAGTACTACTACCCGTGTACAGAGCACAGTAGTACTCGGCCTCATCCTCAGGCTGGGCTCCCGAGATGGTGAGGGCGGCTTTGTTCCCAGAGATGGAGCCAGAGAAGCGATCAGGGACCCCAGAGGTGCGGTTGTTTGTGTGGTAGATGAGCATGCGGGGAGGCTTGCCTGGGGTCTGCTGGTACCAGCCAGGGTAGTTACTAGTAGAGACTGACCCAGAGCTAAGGCCACAGGTGAGTGTGACTGTCCCTCCTGCAGATACTGACATTGACGGCTCCTGGGTCACCACAGTCTGAGAATCCACCCCTGTAACCAACAGGAGAGAGACAGGTGTTATGAGGGATGAAGGTCACACTGAGGCCCTGCTGTTCTGTGCCCCCCAAGGATGCAGAGGCCCTTCCTCTGACCTGAGCTGTGGGCCAGGAGCTGGAGCAGAAGCACCGTCCAGACCATGGTGGGGACACTCACAGGATGTGGCTCCTCAGGCTCCTGGGCTGCAGTGGGGAGTCCTGGGCCTTTTCATGCCTCCCTCACCCATTAGGGGAAGAAGGTGCCTCATGCAAATCAACTTCCCCTCTAGTCCTGCCCCAGGGTCACCCTGCTGTCCCCTGGGGAAAGTCCCAAAAGAGATAGATGCTGGGACCTCACACAGTCCAGGCTGCATGGCGACTGAGACGCTGAGGGAGGGCGTAGACTCTGTCACCAAGTCAGTGCCCTGGTGGCCTGGTGACCTCAGTCCTAACTTCCTTCCCTGGACGGTGTGAGGCTGAAGAATGAGGTGGGAGTGTCTGCCCCTCCCCAGGCCCCATCAATCTAGTTCACCCCAAATCCAGCGCCACCCCTGGTAACACTGATCCTTCCTCGGTGAAACCCCTTTTTGTCTTCGTTGGAGGATCTTAGCGGTCACACTCCCACCAGCGGTGAGTCAGGAGGAGGTCACAGATCTCATGTCTGGGCTGTGAAGGGACTGGGGTCTCCCCGGCTCAGTCCTGGACCCTGTCCCACTAACACTGTTTGGAGAAAGGGCTGGGGGTGCTCACACAGACAGTTGCACCTCCAGGCGGGATGGCCCCTCTCTGTTGTTCTAGGACAGTGGTCGGCAAACTGGGGCTCGCGAGCCACATGCGGCTCTTAGGCCCCTTGAGTGTGGCTCTTCCACAAAATACCGACTTCTGCACATGGGCCACGAACTTTCAGTCGCACTGTATATGCACGCCTGCAGGTGGTCTTTTGTGGTATTTTGTGGAAAAGCCACACACTCAAGGGGCCAAAGAGCCACATGTGGCTCGCGAGCCGCAGTTTGCCGACCACAGTTCTAGGAGGCCATTAGTTATACGGGGTAGTTACACATTAAATGGGATTTTGAGCAGAAAATGTGACAGTGTCTCCATGGAATTATGGGATACCTATGCACATCTGATGTGACAACATAGGAGCTTTCTCAGAAATTTGAACAACGTTGTGAGTGAACAAGTTGGCGTGAACATCACATAGGACATTGTAACAGCCCCTTTCCCTTTCCCTTCTGCTGTGGGGCAGGAAGAATGGGAGGGTGAGCAAGGGATTGGGATGTAAGGGGGTGAGCAGTGCACGTGTCCCAAACTGACATCCTTCCATCCCTCTAATGAAACCACTTGTCCAGAGAGGGAGGAGGGGGAAGAGCAGAGGGATCTGGGTCCCCATTGGGAACCCCCAGAGCTCTGCGGGCTCAGGCCTGGTTGTTGGTACTGAGTCTCCCAACCCCAAGTGTCCGTGATCCTGTGTCCAAGGCACCCATAGGCCTTGTTTCTTCATGCACACGTGTCCCGGGGGTGTGACTGTCCATCTGTCTCTGCCTGGTCGTCAGGCGAGAACAACACCTCTAGGAAGGGAGAGGGGGGTGATTAAAAAAAAAAAGGCGAGTGTGAGGCAGGGGGAGCGCTCAGGTGGCTCCAGTGATTCCTCAGGCTGCAGGGCCCATCAAGGCCGATCCTGTAGACCTTCCCCTTGCCTGGGCCTCATGGGAGATGACAGGCCTCCTGCTGCCCCCCCCCATTGTCTCTGAGGAATTCGAGGACTCCTGCTGTGCAGACAGGAGCACAGCCTGGGTATGTGATTTCAGCAAGAATTCAGTTAAACCACCGCAGAACCTTGGATCTTATTCTAACTGAGAAGAGCATGTAGCACATGGAAGGATGCTCAACGTCGTTGGTACTTTGAAAAGGATCAGTGAGAACTGCAGTGAGACGTCACCTCCCCAGGCCAGCAGGGCCGTGTGAACGTGAGTCGTAGTGACAAAGATGGTGCAGCCTTGGAGAAATCAGAACCCTGGTCATTGCGGGGACAAACGACAAGCAACGCAGCCATATTGGAAAACGTCCACCAGTGACTCAAAAGCTGTCCTGTCCAGTCATCCTGTGCCTCCGCAATCCCACTCCCAAGTGTCTCCCAGGAGAAATGGAAACAGACATCGTCTAAAAGCCAAACAAGCCACACCTGGGGCACAGGTCCCAGCAGCGCTATGCAGAGCAGCCACGGATGAAAACCCCTCAGATGCCCATCAGCTGAAGCGTCAGCAAACGCTGGTGTGCTCAGACATTGGAATGTTATTTGGTCAAAAATAATTGGACTGTTGACCCATGTCCCAGTATGGATGGGCCTCAAGTACATTATTTGGAAGAATTAATAGAAACTGTCCTAGGCAGTTTGGCTCAGTGGATAGAGTGTCAGCAGATGGACTAAAGGTCTCAGGTTTGATTCCTTGTCAGGGCAGATGCTTGGGTTGTGGGCTCCCTCTCCAACGGGGGACATGCAAGAGGCAGCCAGTCAATGATTCTCTCTCATCATTGGTTTCTATTTCTTTCTTCCTCTTTGAAATCAATAAAAACATATTTTTAAAAAGAATTCTAAGAAACAGCCACAAACGGCTACCTGTTTTCCAGTTCCATCCGTGTGAAATGCTCCTCATAGGAAATATGTAAATCCAGAGAGTGAGTCTGCAGTTACCCGGGACTGGCAGGGGTGTGATGGGCATGATTAGTACGTGTGGGACCCTCTCTGAGGGCTGAGGAAAACGTTACAACTAGACTATGGGATGGTTACAGCACTCTGCACATATACTAAATGCTGGTCTATTGTGCACATTAAACCAGTGACATTTAGGGCATGCAAACCATATCACAATGCAGTTGGGATAAAAAAACATTTTGAGAGAGATCAACTCTCACTACCTATTTTAAGTGGGCCTGTGTGACCTAGCCAGTGTGGCTCTATGGATAGAGCGTCGGCCTGCAGACCAAAGAGTCCCGAGCTCAATCATGGTCAAGGGCATGTACCTCAGTTGCAGGCTCCTATGCAGCCCGGGCCCTGGTCGGGACTCCTGCAGGAGGCAACTAATCAATGTGCTTCTCACATCGATGTCTCTGTCTCTCGCTCTCCTTCCACTCTCTCTAAAAATTGATGGGAAAATATCCTCGGGTGAGGATTCAGAAATTAACAAAATAATAAATCGAGGCTGTGCTCAGAACGACTCTCGAGTCGGACCCTGTAGGGTCTGCCACAGCCACCGCTTCTGTGTCACGGCATTCAGGGCGATCAGGGGGAACAGGGCGGGTTTTTGTCTCAGTTCCCCGTGGGTGGGGAGCAGTGTGTGATTGCTGATGCTGGTGTCCCATGTTGAACAGTAATAAACAGCCTCGTCCTCGGGCTGCAGGCCCGTGATGACCAGCGAAGCCGTGTTGCCGGACTGGGAGCCAGAGAACCGCTCCGGGATCCCCGAGGGCCGGGAGCTGCCGAACATCACGGTTTTGGGGGCAGAGCCCGTGACCTGCTGGTACCAGCCCACAGTACGTGCTCCAACATTGTTGCTGTTCCCCTTGCAGGACAGGGTGACCTTCTGGCCCGGAGACCCCGACAGCGAGGCTTCCTGCGTCAGCCCGGCCCGCACCCCGGACCCTGGAACAAAGGACACAGACACAGACAGTGGGGCTGAGGTCATTTCTCAGGGCGGGCGCTCAGGAGAAGAGAACAGTGCATCCCCAGGTGCCCCATCCTCCCTTGTCCCGCTCCCCCAGTCAGTCACCTGAGCTGTGAGCAAGGAGGGCGAGGAGGAGAGGGGCCCAGGCCATGGTGGAGACGCCCACACTCTGCTTCTGAGCCTCAGACCTGAGAGGCCCGCACTGTCTCTCTTATCCTGTCCCCTCCTGGGAGGGCCCAGGGGAGCCCTGCATGCAAATGCCCCCTCCTCCTGGTGTCCCCGGGGATAAATGTGGTGAAAGCTGTGTGGCTGGGGAGAGAGGGCCTCTCAAGGGTCCCTGGGAGGTCAGAGCTGCTGGTCCACAGTGAGCACAGAGCAGAGGCACAAAGCAGGGCTCCCCACCCTGGCTTCCCAGCTGAGGGCCCTCACTGACCCAGGGACAGACCCACAGCGCCCCCTGCTGGTCCAGAGTCCAGATTCACTAATGACCAGATGGGTAACCTGGAGCTGAGCAGGGAGAGACTGAGGCTCTGGAATTCAGCCCTGCCTTTGCCACCCCCTCCCTCTCAGGGCAGGGCTGTGCGGTGCATTGTGGGAATCTGCACTTTCCTACTCCGCCCACTGGGTCCTGTGCTCAGACAGCAGCTCCCCTAACCGGGAACAAGTTTCCTGGTGAAGCAACATTTCCGGGGGCTGGAGGGTCCGGAGCCCCTTCAGTCTGAAGCTCTGAGCTTGTCACACTCTGCTCCCCTCTGAGAGAATGGATGACCTCCTGGAGGTTTCCTGGAGAGGAGGGTGATGGGAAATAGGAGGAGTGAGTGGTCGTCCATTGTTTCCATTTCTTTGATTGTTTCTTTCTACAACCTGTAGCTTGCCTTTCACTTTCTTCTGGGTGTCTTTTGATAAGCAGCTGCTTTTGCTTTTCATGAAGTGCGATTTACAACCTCCCATTTTTTTGCATCCTTGGGATCTTTGTGCCTTTTCTTTGCCAAGATTATGAAAATAGTCTTATGTGGTTTCTTAGAAGCGTTTCCACATTTGGACCAAGAATCCATCTAAATAAATTTTGTGTGTTGTGTGAGGTACCGGGTCCAAGTTCTTACAGTTTTCCTCTGTCTCTTGGGTGTTCTTTTTGGAGAAGTCTATTCAGGTCCGCTGCCGTTTTTAATTGGGTTGTGTTGAGGGTTTGCTTTCTTCCCTTGGCGTTGAGTTGTGTGAGCTCTTATATATGTTGGACATGAACCCCTTTATGCAATGATCATTGGTGAATATCTACTTCCATTCTATCACTGGAGGCTGTTTTTTTGTTTGGTTGATGATTTCCTTTACTGTGAAAAAACCCTTTAGTTTGATGTATCCCATTGCTTAATTTTTCCTTTTGCTTTCCTTGCCTGAGGAGATATATTAGAAAATGTTGGTAACATTAATGTCAGAGATTTGACTGCTTCCTTTTTTGGGGGGGAGTGGAGTTTTATGATTTCAAGTTTACATTTCAGTCTTTAATGCATTTTGAATTTATTGCTTGGTGTGGAGTAAGGACGGCAACAAGAGGAGAGGTGCTTCTCCAGTGCCAGGGCTGACCAGCTTGCCCTGAGCCACGGGTGAACAGATCGCTCTGACACAGGTTTCCGTAAAAGAGAGGCTAAGGGACTCTTTTACTTCAGTAGTAAAAGCAGTCCTGTTCCCCTGCCTCATTGACTTTTTAGTGTAACAACCGCTTGAACTCAAATTAACCTCTAGGTACAATCAGCAGGGAGCTATCCTTGAGAAAGCACGTGCTTCTGGTACAGAAGACCCAAGAAAAACCAAGCCACGCTTTACAGACATGGAGGAACACTGTTTAATTATGCCAGGGGACTCAGGGAATAGCTTTCCAAATCTGAGTACCGAAACATGCAGGGGGCTTCTTTTTATATCTCCCTGTGGTCTTTTGTCCTGCAAATATGAATTATGCTTCTGGTTCTTTTCCCGGGCCTTGCAAGAAGGCCCTCAAGGGTTGGGGGTCTCCAGGCCATATCTGATGGGTTGGCCTGGCACCAGCGTTAATAACCATTTCTCCGGGGTAGCACACTGTTCACAGTTTTATGGCCTCTGTAACAGGTTCGGCAAGACCAGTCCTGGGAAGGAGGTAATGACTTAGTTATAAGTTTTCAAGAATGTACACTGAGCTTCTGGCATGGATTCCAATGGCTAGCCGTCAAAATATCAGGGTTACTTTAGAATTGGCCCCTTTTGGCCTTCTCACTGCTACAAGGTCCGGTCTTAAAGACTAAGCATAGAGATTCTAGCAAAACACCCGGGAATCGGACTTGTTTGAAAAAGTCAAGGTAGGGGCTGCCGCCTTTGGCAAGGTCCCCTCAGAGGCCCCCGACCTATCGGACAATCCTCCTTACAGACATTCCAACCAAGTCCCGTGCTTCCCCACATGCCAGCATTCATGTGGAACCACCTCCTGGAGGGCTTGTTCACATAGAGATTCTGGGAAACAACACAAGTCCCTGACTCAGTGGGTCTAACATACGAATTGCATTCCTAACAAGCGCCAGGTAATGCTCCATTTCAAGGCCAAGATAAATATTAACGTTGTCCCCACAGTCAAATTCATGACTGAGGCTGTGTCGTCAATGCTCTTTGAGTCAGAGGACACTTACAGCCTCACATTGGGGTCACTGAGTCTCACTGTAGGTTGATCCAGTTGGGAGCTGAGCCCGTCCCTGTAACTATGGGCAGAAAAGAAGAGGGAAAGCCCATTCTTGCAGTAGTCTCATGACGGGATGGACACATCCTGGGAGAGACTGAGGAGGAACATGACCAGGAATCCCCGGACAGGAGAATGGAGCCAGGGAGCCCCTTCTCATGGAGTGTGGCCATTTCCACCTTCAGGCTTTTTCTGCATCAAAGGCTGAGCCATGCTGAGCCATGTGGAGGTTTTGGTTGCACTTCCCCGTGGGTTTATATCACCGTGTAAACATCACCAACATTGTACAGAATACAGTAATAGTCGGCCTCGTCCTCAGGCTGGGCCCCCGAGATGGTGAGGGCGGCTTTGTTCCCAGAGATGGAGCCAGAGAAGCGATCAGGGACCCCAGAGGGGCGGCTGTTTGTTTGGTAGATGAGCGGGCGGGGAGGCTTGCCTGGGGTCTGCTGGTACCAGCTGGGGTAGTTACCACTAGTGACTGCCCCAGAGCTAAGGCCACAGGTGAGTGTGACTGTCCCTCCTGGAGATACTGACAATGATGGATCCTGGGTCACCACAGTCTGAGAATCCACCGCTGAAACCAACAGGAGAGAGACAGGTGTTATGAGGGACGAAGGTCACCCTGAGGCCCTGCTGTTCTGTGTCCCCCAAGGATGCAGAGTCCCTTCCTCTGACCTGAGCTGTGCGCCAGGAGCTGGAGCAGAAGCACCGTCCAGACCATGGTGGGGACACTCACAGGATGTGGCTCCTCAGGCTCCTGGGCTGCAGTGGTGAGTCCTGGGCCTTTTCATGCCTCCCACACCCATTAGGGGAGAAGGGCCTCATGCAAATCAGCTTCCCCTCTAGTCCTGCCCCAGGGTCACCCTGCTGTCCCCTGGGGAAAGTCCCGAAAAAGATAGATGCTGGGACCTCACACAGTCCGGGCTGCATGGCGACTGAGACGCTGAGGGAAGGGGTTGAGTCTGTCACCAAGTCACTGCCCTGGTGTCCTGGTGACCTCAGACCTAACTTTCTGACCCTGGAGGGTGTGAGGCTGAAGGATGAGGTGGGAGTACCCACTGCCCCTCTGGCCACAGCAATCTAGTTCACCTCAAATCCAAACCACTCCTGGGAACACTGATTCTTCCTCAGTGAAACCCCTTTTTGTCTTCGTTGGAGGATCTTAGCAGTCACACTCCCTGCAGCGGTGAGACCAGGAGAAGGTCACAGATCTCAGGTCTGGGCTGTGATGGAACTGGAGTCTCCCCGACTCAGTCCTGGACCCTGTCCCTTTCCCTTCTGCTGTGGGGCAGGAAGAATGGGAGGGTGAACAAGGGATTGGGATGTAAGGGGGTGAGCAGTGCACGTGTCCCAAACTGACATCCTTCCCGTCCCTCTAATGAAACTGCTTGTCCAGCGAGGGTGGAGGGGGAAGAGCAGAGGGATGTGGATCCCCATGGGGAACCCCCAGAGCTCCCTGGGCTCAGGCCTCGTTGTTGGTACTGAGTCTCCCATCCCCAAGTGTCTGTGATCCTGTGTCCAAGGCACCCATAGGCCTTGTTTCTTCATACACATGTGTCCCGGGGGTGTGACTGTCCATCTGTCTCTGCCTGGTCGTCAGGCGAGAACAACAACTCTAGGAGGGGGGTGTGGGGTGATAAAATACAAGGCGAGTGTGAGACAGGGGGAGTGCTCAGGGGGCTCCAGTGATTCCTCAGGCTGCAGGGCCCATCTAGGCTGATCCCATAGACCTTCACCTCGCCTGGGCCTCACAGGAGATGACAGGCCTCTTGCTGCCCCCCCCCCCCATTGTCTCTGAGGAATTCGAGGACTCCTGCTGTGCAGACAGGAGCACAGCCTGGGTATGTGATTTCAGCAAGAATTCAGTTAAAGCACCGCAGATCCTTGGATCTTCTCACTGAGAAGAGCATGTAGAAACATGGAAGGATGCTCAACATTGTTGGTCCTGGAAAA